GACAGTCTCAGCTAAATATGGACTCTGACCATGAAGTAACACATGCAGTCAGGAGAAAAGGCTGATTATGTGTGGAAAAGACCAATCGAGGGGTGTGGCAGATTATCCAGTTAGGTGGTTGCTTTAGCTATGCAGCAGCTGTAAACGAGGGCTGCAACTAATGATTATGTTGATAGTCAGCTAATCCGCCTAATTTTTCTTGGATCGGTCGATTAGTCACCTGTAATCTCCTGTTGTAGGCTGCCCCCCTGTAAATATGGCCCTGCTGTCTCATCCCACAGCAAATTAATTATTAGGTAACACAAATGAAAGCGCGAGTAGTCCTTAAACAAAAGTAATGTGCAAATAGGAAACTATAGATGTTCTGTTCTTAAGTTCAAGCTTCAAATTAAACATTTAAATATAATTTTTTTTTCCAGTTTCCAAAGTTTACAGATGATTCCGGTCGTGAATTCCCAACTGCAGCGTTCCCAGCTTGAGCCTCTTTACAGGACAAACCCATCTGTACGCCTCCAGAAGGTGTCGTGTTCAATACCAATTAAATTGCTTAACTGATTTTATATATATATATGTATAATTCATTAATGATATAGGCCGGCCCACAGATTAACAAGCTGGCGTTAGGTGGAAGAGGTTTACTATTCAGAATCGATGCTGAAATGACTGTGAGAACACAAACATGAAGGAGTCAGCGTGTCACACTCAAACTGAGCGTTCAGCGCTGATGTCACCGCTCCAGCGTGCCGGTGTTTAAATGCTCGTGCGCTGCAGCGGCGTGCACAGTCTGCATGTAGCGTCGTTTTTGGGAAATCCTTTTCCTTCCTCCTGTTTTGCGGTTTGCAGACGATACAGGCGATACTGCCCCACGGCTTCCTGTAGTGTAACTGCAGTTACAGAAACACATTCACCTGGTTTTAAATATGACATCATAGATTATGGTGATGAAACATAGCAGCCTGCTGTAGACACTGGTTCAGATAAACGTCCTTATCTGTAAAGAGTTCTCACACATAATATTTGGACTTGGTCGTGTTAGAAGTTTAAAATCTCTGTTCTGAGCTGTTCTCTGTGAAACTGCTGATTCATCTTCTTTACTCAACCAAAAGTGAACACAAATATTAGCTTAGTAAAAACTCGCTGCTTGAAAGTTATTTTTCTGCAAAGGTAACTGAACATTGTTACATTAATATGATAATAAAATAATATCACACGTCATAGTCGACCTGTGGGATGAAGGATGCAGTGTTGCTGGTGATGAGCGCGGTGCATGGGGAACACAACAATAGTAGTTCTGATGTTCCCATAATGCAAACAAAGGTGTCGGGGTTCCCCTGTCTAATCATCTCTCTCTGTCTTCTTAGGTGTAAGCAGCTCAGGATGTCCGCCCACCTCCTCCTCCTCCTCCTCCTCCTCCACTGCCCAGGGCTTCTCCCTCGCTGAGCCAGCCATGACCAGCCAGCACTCACATACACACCCCTCCTTCAGCTCCATCCACTCCATGGCCGAGCAGCAGCAGGTACCACCACACATGCCTTTGGCACAGTGCCACACAACATGTCAACATTTTGTTTATTTTAGATGTTGAAACATTGTTGCTTCGTAGAGCTGCTGAACATGAAATGTCTGTGAGGTCATGAAGGTTTAATGACACGTGTTGTTCAAAAGGATCCGTTCCTAAGCTGGACACTTCCTGTGGCACCGCCCCCACAACCAGAGTAGCTACTGTTACCATCAGCTGTGATACTCTGTGAACATTTACAGTCACTCTGAGCTCAGCGTTGTATTCTGTAACTTTAAACATCTGGATCTGCTCCGTACGTGGCGTTCCTCCTTTGCACATACTGCAAACTACAGGGGGGAGGCAGGGGGGAGGCAGGGGGGAGGCAGGGCGTTCTCACCCACGATGTTCACAGTGGGGATGTGTACATATGCGGGTGTACAAGTATGTTTATATAAGTAACTTTTGACGTGTTACTGGGGTTATTAAAAAGAATCATGTAGCAAATTGTAATGAAGAATTTCTGATGGATGCATGAAAGGAAGAGAACGTGTAGACTGTGAGTTACTTAATAGTGGAAAGAGGGTGGGATTAAATAAGCTTATGCTTCCTCCTCCTCTTTAACATGTAAATTATTTATAATGATTCTTATTTTGTTTTCTTTGTCTCAGTTGTTATTGTTGTTATACTATTTTAACATGTTCAGAAATCTCCAACCAAGTTTCAGCAAAGTAAAGAGGAAAGCATGTAAACCTGTTCATGCTAACGCTAACCCTACTGCTGTATAAGAACCAGAACCATTCAAACTGAAAGTAGGTTAACCTTTAAGATGACACGACTACTCTAAATATCTCTAAATGTAACCAGGATCTTTCTACGCTGAGTAGAACGATTCAGAGGCATTTTGAATTTGATGATTAAAATCTGTTTCCTGGCTCAGTGGGTCTCAGTTTTGAGATGTCTCCACTTTATGTCACAGATGTACCCAGTACAGCTAAAGTTAGAAGATAGTGGTCACTGTAATCGATACTGACATTTGTATGCCAGGTCTCCACCCACATCTTATCCCTCAAAATGTGAACACTTAAGGTGTTTTCATAGCAAACAGCTACCGGGCATCGTGGGTCTTCTGTAAACTGAAGCGACAGCAGCAGCAGGGCACAGCATCTCCCGGCTGTCTCATACACAATTTGCTTCTGATCCTGATCTCAGGTCCTACCAGCCTGTATGGCACTGCTGCTCTCCTCACACAGCTGAATAGAACAGACTGTAGTTTACATTAGTGATATGAATAAATATCGCTAACTAGTATGAGCAAAGTTGGAATCTGCAGGTGATCCAATAGTGGTTACTAACTGCTCGTGGATTCCTCAGGAAAGCTAATGTCATGGGTCAAAAACGAATAATGTTATATCTTATCTAGGAGAAAATGATGGGTTCATCTAGGGCTGTGCGATATGTCCAAAATCTCATCTCCCGATATAA